ATGAGTAGGAACCGACTCTATGGTACAAAACCACCAAATCACCATTGCTTAGCTAAACATTGGGCCACAAGGGAGAGTTCCTTTCCAGACCTGAAGAGTGGTTGAAGGCCATAATCTCAGGTTCCTACAGTCTCTTTCTGAACAGTAAGCCCTTAAAAAAAAAAAAAAAAAAGGGGGGGTTTCATTAAACAGTTTCTGTCACTCTTTCTAGGACCTTCTATTGTGATCCCTTTCAGAGCAGTTGGTAGAGGTAGCCAGGCACCATCTAGTCTCAGAGTCATGCAGACTGATGATGTTCTATTACTCCATTGGACTAGTTGATTCCAAATCTCTTCAATTCTCATCACTCTTTCTTCTGCACATGGAGAGACCAATAGTTGTGCCTTAGACAGTCATTCATGAGCTTTTTTATTTTTTAACTATGAGCTTTTTTATTTTTTAACTATTTATTGTGAATTGAGGGAAGCTTTACAGAGCAGATCATTAGTTTTGCATTCAACACATCACATCCTTTGCTTCATTACATGGTTGCATACTCTCCATGGACTAACAGTTAACAACATTTACCTCTATTCCCCTTAACTATTTATTCCTCCCTCTGTCACCCACTAAGGAGCAATGGTAGCATAGTAGTTATGAATCCGGCTGCAAACCGCAAGGTCAGCAGTTCGAAACTACCAGCTGGTCCGCAAGAGAAAGATGAGGCTTTCTGTTCCCGTAAAGATTTACATCCTCGGAAACATTGTACAGGGTCGCTATGAGTCAGAATCGACTCCACAGCACACAACAACTGTCACCTACTACCTTCATCTTTCCTTTGCTAGACCACTCTTATTGTATATTGCCTGCCCTGTCACCCATGTTAATATGTATCTACCCTCTAGCCCATGAATAATTTTCCCTCCCTGGACCCCTATCACCATCATAGATTGTTTCTTTTATCAAGAAAACCTTTTTTTTTTTTCTTTTGTGATTGACTAATTTCACTCTACGAATCGGGCTGTGAACCTAAAGGTCAGCGGTTCGAAACTACCAGCTGCTCCACGGGAGAAAGATGAGGCTTTCTACTCCCGGAAGGATTTACACCCTCGGAAACCCTGTACAGGGTCGCTATGGGTCGGAACCGACTCGACGGCACGTAACAACAACAACAATTTCACTCTGCATATTGTCCTCCAGACTCAAACATGTTGAGAGGTGTTTCACAGATATGTTGTTATTCTTTAACATTTTTCAGTATTGTTGAATGTACCAAAGTTTGTTTAGCCATTCTTCTGTTGTTGATATTTAGGCTGTCTTCATCTTTTTGATGTCTCTTGTAGACAGCATATTGAAGGATCTTGTTTTCTTACCCAGTCTTCTCTTTATGTCTTTTGATTGGAACATTTAATCCAATTATGTTCAGTGTAATTACCAATAGGTCTGAATTGATTGTTGTCTATTTTTATGTGGCTTTTGTGTGTGTGTGTGTGTGTGTGTGTGGTGCTGCTGGATTCTTTGTTCCACGTAACTTTCTATGCTAAGTTCATCTTCTTTGTGGGTTTTCACTTTACTTGTTTCCACTATCAACACACATAGAAACAGCAGTTAAGAAATCAAACAAGGTATTGCATTGAGCAAATCTGCTGCACAAGACCTCTTTAAAGTGCTAAAGGGCAAAGATGTCACTCTGAGAACTAAGGTGCGAGTGACTCAAACCATGGTATTTTTGGTCTCTTAATATGCAAGTGAAAGCTGGATACTGAATAAGGAAGATTGGACAAGAATAAGTGTACTTGAATTATAGCTTTGGCCAAGTATATTCAAAGTGTCACAGAGTGCCAGATACACAAATAAATCTGTCTTTGAAGAAGTACAGGCAGAATGCCCTTTAGAAGCAAGGATAGCGAGGCTTCATGTCACGTATTTTGGGCTTGTTATCAGGAGGAACCAATCCCTGAAGAAGGACATTGTATTTGATAAAGTAGAGGGCCTGGGAAAAAGAGGAAGACTCCAATCAAGATGATTGACACAGTGGCTGAAACTATGTTGTTGTTAAGTGCCGTTGAGTCAGTTTCGACCCATAGCGACCCTGTACAGGGTTTCCGAGGCTGTAAATCTTTACAGGAGCAGAATGCCTTCTCTTTCTCCTGCGGAGCGTCTGGTTTTGAACTGCGGACCTTAAGGTTCGCAGCCCGATTTGTAACCACTGTGCTACCAGAGCTGTAACTATGGGCTCTAATATTTTTGAGGATGGTGCAGGACCAGGCAGTGTTTTGTTCTGTTGTGCACTGAGTTGTTAGGAGGCAACTTGATGGCACCTACCAGCATCAACAACATTGTATGGAGTTCAAAAACACTTTTGAGATAAATTTTTAAGCAGTATTTTTTACTTTGTACATAATAATCACTGACATCTGTTTATTCTCATTATCTTATTTTCTAAAATTTATTTGTATCCCCAAAATCAACATGGCCTTTTCTTGGTTATTTGTAGACACGTTCAGAGCAGTCAAAAATTTGAGACATGCATATGTGCGAATTCCCAGATGAGACTGAACAAGGTGGCATTCTGCCCTTTGCTTCAATTCTCATACCATAAACATTTGTCCTTTTCAGCTTTCTACTTAATGCTACATTTTTCCATTTTTGCGCTTTGGGTTAGTGATATTGTTTTAAAATGGCCTTTACAAGTTCTGAAGTGCTGTTTAGTGGTCCTACGTGTATGAAGGAGTCCTGGTGTGGTGCTGTGGACTAATGCGCTGGACTGAAAAGTTGCTTTGAATCACAAGGTCGGCAGTTCAAGCTCACCAGTTGCTCCTCGGAAACCTTATACTGGGTTGGAACCGACTCAACAGCACTTAACAATCACGGGTAAGAAGGTCATGATGTGCCTTATAGAGAACCTGTTGGCCATGAGTTTAATTAATTAATGAATCAACAAGATATACAAAGATGTCTTTAAAGCAAAACATACCTAACACATGATTATGTATTGACTGGTTGAAGAAAATGTGACCAGAGGCTCACACCCTGTGTTTCTCCTGGAGCAATTTGTTCAGCCTTCCCATAGGCTTTGGAGAACACTCACCACAAATTCCAAGAATTGGCTGTACCTCATACTTACCATGGAGAAATACTATGATGAAAAAATCGCAGGGTTCTACGAGAGGGCATAAAAGAGGGACTAAATTAAAATGGAGGATGAGGATTAGGGAAGATCCAAATGATTTATAGAGTTATATAAGAGAAGGAGCTCTGGTAGTGTAGTGGTTACGAATTGGGCTGCAAACCTCAAGGTCAGCAGTTCAAAACTACCAGCTGTTCCGCGGGAGAAAGATGAGGCTTTCTGCTTCCAGGGTCGCGATGAGTCGGAACTGACTCCACAGCACAACCAAAGAGAAGAGCATGAAAGTGGGAAATTATTCTTGGTGAAGGTATATGCATTCAGATGTTAATGTAGGAGGATAACAATCTTGTGAAAGAGCTCAAAGACCCGCACTGTTTGTGGAGTGAGAGGGAGTGGGAATAGGCGGTGAGTAGGAGGAAGTCCTGGTGAAGTGCTGTAGGATAAACAAGGGACTGTTAACCACAAGGTCAGCAGTTCATCTACCAGGCGCTCCGCACTATGAGTTGGAACCTATTCCCACTGCATTTAACCAGAAGTAGCCAGATAACACAAGGTTTTGTAAATTATACGGAAATACTTTGCTTCATTGAGCTTCAATTTTATTGTGCAGATTCTTCATTCTTTTTTAAATTGAAGGTTTGTGGTAATTAGCAAGTCTACTGGCACCAGTTTAGTAACAGCATGTGGTCACTTTGTGTCACATTTGGGCAATTCTTGCAATATTCCAGACTTTTTCAGAATGCTATTGTAGACTTAATTGTTCTTACTAAGCGCCAGAGTAGCTGCTGATGAGTTTGAACTACCGACCTTTTGGTTCAACCAACCTTGCATTATTAATCCGCAGCGCCACAGCAGACCACAGTTTATATGGTACACACAATTTATATGCACTGGGAGCCCCCAAAATCGTGTGGCTCACTTTATTCTATACTTTATCGCGGTATTAAGGTTTAAAGTCCTTTCTTGAATGGGTTTCCACCCACATCTTCAAAAACATTTGAACCCCGGACTTGGTTCCGAGAATTTTCTGACCAATTTTTCTCAGCATCCTCTTCATCGTTCACCCTTTTATTTGCATGTTAGGGGTGCCACCAAGCTCCTCTGCCTTGGCACAGATTTCTAGCTTTCTAATTTCCCTGACCCCTCAGTTTCTATAATGGCTCTCTGTTGTTGTTAAGTGCAGTCGAGTCTGTTCCGACCCATAGCGACCCTGTACGAGGTTTCCGAGGAGCGGCTGGTAAGCTTGAACCGCCGACCTTGAAGTTCAAACCGATTTTGCAGTCCGGCGCATTAACCCGCAGCGCCACACCAGGACTCCAGTGTTCTTATTTCACTTCTGCCCCCTCCCCTCCAACTGTCTCAACTCTGCAGTTCCTGACATTCAGTCGCCCTTCAGAGGCTCGGCCAGATTAACTTGAGGTTATTAGCGATCTAAACAAGTCTTAGCAATTCTGCACCGTTAGAACAACAGTTTACCCATCACCCAGATTCAGAATGTTGCCCCACAACTACTTTGAGAAACACTTTGAGTTGCGGCTGCTTCCTCCGTCCACAACCATCTAATTTTCCCGAAATGTTCCGGTCATAAGTCCCGTTCCTCTCTTCCTCTCTGGCGCTTCCCCGGATCAGATTTTCTTCCAGGCCCGCGGGTAAGGCTGCATTCGCTGCTGCGCTTCAGGGAGTCGGGTCTGGCCTCGCGCTGGGGAGGGAAGGGACAACCAGGGATAAAGAAGTCGACAAAGCAGGACGCAGGAAGGCGTGCGGGCGCGGGAGAAGGCGGGCGCTGAAACTAGTGGAGCTGCACGCGCCGGAGAGAGGACAGAAAGCGCAGGCGGCAGGCAGCGGCCAGGATGGGTCTTGGAGGCCGGGGGCGGGGCCGCGGCCCGCTAGGGGCGGAGCTCCCGCGCAGGTCACGTGACGGACCCAGCGGCAGCGGCGGCGTCGGCGGCCGCGGCGTCTGTAGCGGCGCCCAGTGCAGGATGGTGCTGGAGGCGGCGGTGGCGGCCCTGGTGGCGGTGGCGTTGCTGGCGGCAGCAGGAGGGGGTACTGTGGCGGCATTAGCGGCGGCGCCCGCGGTTGGTGTAAAATGGCGGATTTCGAAGAGTTAAGGGTAAGCGGGGTCCGGGAGTGGAGCGCTGAGGCCGCGGGGGAGGGGAGGCGGGGAAGCCGCAGCGTCGCCAGCCGCCACCTTCTTGTTTCCCCGGGACCGGTTGGCTGAGCCTTGAGCCCCGGCGCGCGTCCGAGTGGGCGGGGGATGGGAGCGAGTCGGCGGAGGTCGCTTCGGCGGCGCGAGGGTGGTGGGCCCGGGGCCGAGGGCGAGCCCGCCTGGAGTCCTGCGGGCGGAGCCGCACACCTGGCGCGGCGTCCGGGGCCGCCCTGCGAGGGGCACGTGGGGCCCGACTGCCCCGGGTTTAAGGTCTGAGAGAGAAAACTGCATTTAATTTTCTACCTTAAGGAGGAGGGTACATCTCTTGCGATTCACAAGTCTACCTGCTACTTACTTGGAGAAAGACTATTTCTTGTTGTGTGAAGTTGCGCTTGGGAATTTCTCTCTCACCTCTCGGGCTCGTGGTAGGTGTACATTCAGGTCTTTCACCCGAAAAGACCCTTCGTCCACCCAGTGGTTCTCCACAGACGAGTTATAATCGTAATCTTTTGGGAACGAAGCTTGCTTTCAGTAATTGGCCTGAAACCGGGTTATTTTCTTAGTACCATGGTAAGAAAATCTAGAAAGTCTATATTGTCATAAGGTTGATTGGTCAGTGAACTTGTTTTGCTATTGAAGAAAAATATTAATTCTGAGCCTTAGAACAAGGTCATAACTTTCTTGTTGATCTCTGTATTGTAGAGGTTTATGATGGGGTATGAGTGTAGAACAGAAGCCTTCCCGACCCCCGAGACTGATAACCGTCAGAGTCCTTCACCGAAATAAAACCTAAGTGTGATAAATGAGCCAACTTTTTGTTTTATGGACGCTGAATTACTGGCTACATAAACGGGATGTTTAAGAACGGAATCCTACTATTAAAATAAAAAAATAAAAAGTATTTCAAAATAGACATGAATGTCACTTTAAAATTAAGTTAACTGCAGCTAGTTTTCCTAACAAACTGTGGTAGCGTTACTTTTTTGGAATTCGTTAAAGAGTGAGTTTTGTATATTCTTTTTCGGAAAGGAGTCTGGTAGTGTAAAATCGTTCATTACCTCTTGGACCCCTGGGAAACAACCTGGTTCTGATTTAGAGAAGATCTTTTTAGTTTACAAAAAGAATAATAAAGGAATGAATGAGAAAGGCTTGTTCATGCATTTTATACCCTAATAATAAATAAAGGATGGTCTCACAGTTAAGACCAAGTTAGGGCTTTAGTGGCTGAAAACTTCAGCTGTTGAGCTTTTAACATCTGTGAAACTTTGGGAAAAGATCAGGCCTGGCCTCGCCTCTATAAATTTGTGTACAGCGTTAGGTTGACAGTGGATTTAGAAGATTGAATTTTGATGTTAAAATTATTCTCACCTGCAATATCATCTTAGTTTTTCTGTAGTAATGTATTTTTGCAACTTTTGCTCTTCTCAGTATTTTTGTTGGTGGTAACTCTTCTAGAACTTGTGTTAGACTTTTATAAATGTTGTTGTCGAAGCTTAACAAACTTCAGCTTTGGATTTATTTACCAGTAACAGGCAAAAGAGTAGGGAATGTGCTTAGGTTGGAAAGGAACCAAGAATGGAAGGTGTTTGGAAACCAAAGAACCTTTTCTTCCTCTCGCCTTTCCATTTTGTTTTGTGGATCAACCTCATTCGTCTCTTTCTGTAAATCAGCTGTTTTTCCTTTTCCCTGTGCTTGATAGAAGATGGCTCCACCCTCACAGTTCATTTCAGGTGACCAACAGAGAAGAACTTGGGAGAGTTTTCAGAGGGGAGAATATGGGCTGGTCAGACCCTTGAAAAGTTATCTGCCCTCTTCTTTGCCTTTAGCTGCTCAGTGCAGAACCATTTCCCCTACATTCAAAAATGAACTGTGGTCCTTCTTCCCTGCCGTTGCAAATACAGTCATTCTCTTTGTGGAGTGATGCCTCAGGCAGTGGTGGTGTTGGTATTATGATGAAAATGGAAAATGCCTACTATAATATTGTGCTTATTATGATCCAGGCTCTGGTCTATAAACACTTCACATATACATGCATTTTTAATTCTTACAATTCCATGAAAAAGTTAAGGCATTGGAAAGTTAAACACCTGTACCAAAATCAGAGAGCCCGTGATTGGTAAGAGCTAAGATTTTTAACCTTATATGCCTGTGCTTTTCACACTCTAAGCAGTTCTGCTTTTGACCGTTTCTTTCGGGTCCTGGTGGAGCATGTGGCCATCATCCTGAAACCTATGGACTAAAATGATCATTGGATGCAGTAATGTTTTTGGGACCTTCATTTGCTGATGTGGCACGACTCAAAATCGTTCATTAATAATGGAACTTGGAAAGTACTAAATATGAATCAAGAAAAATCCGACATTGTCAAAAATGTGCAAGTTCAGGCAGAAGCTGAAAAAAAGTAAAACAAGTCTATGAAATGGAATACTTGAAGATCAATTTCCTGGGCATTAGTGAGCTGAAATGGACTGGATTTGGCTGTTTTGAATCTGATAGTCATATGGTCTACGGTGCTGGGAATGACAAGTTGAAGACACTTCCAGTGGTAGGATAATACCCATGTTTGTACAAAGAAGACCAGTTAATATGACTATTATTCAAATTTGCACACTAAGCACTAATGCTAAGATGAAAAAATTGAAAGACTCTGCAGTCTGAAATTGATCAGACATGCAATTAAGATGTACTGATAATCACTGGTGATTGGAATGGGAAAATGGAAAACAAAAGAAAGATCCCATAGTTAGAAAATATGGCCTTTGTGACAGACACCGGAGAGCTCATAATAGAATTTTGCAAAACCAACAATTTATTCATTGTAAATACCTTTTTCAAACAACATGAATGGACCTTACAAGAAGTAATACACAGGAACCAAATTGACTACATATGTGGAATGAGACAATGGAGAAACTCAATATCATCAGCCAAAGCAAGGTGGCCAGGCTCTAGCTCTGAAACAGACCATTATTTGCTCATATGCAAGTTCAAGCTAAAGCTGAAAAAAATAAAACAAGTCTATGAGAGCCAAAATTTGACGTTGAATATATTTCAGCTGAAGCTAAAGGTCACCTCAAGAACAGATGTGATGTATTAGACACGATTGACTGAAAACCAGGGGAATTGTGGGATGACATCAAGAGAACATATACATGAGGAAAACAAACAGTCATTAAAAAGACAGGAAAAAAAAATGGATGTCAGAAGAGACTCTGAAACTTGCTCTTGAATGCAGAGTAACTAAAGCACCTAAAAGAAATTATGAAGTAAAAGAGCTGAACAGAAAATTTCAAAGGGTATTTCAAAAAGACAGAGTGAAAAAGTATTATAGTGAAATGTGCAGACCTAGAGTAAGAAAACCAAAAGCTCAGCATTTCTTAAGCTGAAAGAATTAAAGAGAAAAATTCAAGCCTCAAGTTACTCTAATGAAGGGCAAAATGTTGAATAATGTAGGAAGCATCAAAAGAAGATGTAAGGAGTTACTGTACTAAAAAAAATTGGTTGATATTCAACCCTTTTAGACGGTAGCATATGATCAAGAACCAATGGTATTGATGGAAGAAGTTCTAACTGCACTGAAAGCATTGGCGAAAAGCAGGGCTCCAGGAATTGATGGAATACCAATGGAATGTTTCAGCAAAGGATTGCAATGCTGAAAAATTTCATTTATCTATACCAAGAGATTTGGGAGACAGCTTATCAGGCTAACTACCTAGAAGAGATCTAGACGTATGTGTGCCCATTCTAAAGAAAGTTGATACAACAGAATGTGGAAATTATCAAACAATATCATTAATGTTGGGAGCGCTGTGGATATTAATGGATAAGCACTGGACTGCTAGCCACAAATCACAAGGTCTGCAGTTTGAGCCCATCAGCTGTTTTGCTGGAAAAAAGATGAAGCTTTCTGCTCCTGTAAAGATTTATAGCTCAGAAAACCAAGGTCACTGTGAGTCAGAACTGACTGGATGGCATTTAACAGCAATAACAACAATCATTAATTTAACACACAAGTGAAATTTTGCTGGAGATGGTATTTTTTAAAAGATGGTTGAAGCAGTACATGGACAAGGAGTTACTAGGAATTAAGCTGGATTCAGAAGTGAACGTGAAATGAGTGCTTTCATAGCTAATGACAGATGGAAGCACTTGGCAGAAAGTGGGGAATTCCAGAAAGTTGTTTACTTATGTTTTGTTGACCATGCAAGGACATTTGACCATGTGGATCATAACAAATTATTATAATTTTGCAAAGAATGAGAATTCCACAACACTTGTGCTCATGCGGAACCAAGAGAAGGTGGTTGGACAGAGCAGAGGGTTTGGTTTGGATTACACCTTAACATAAAGAAACAAAAATTCTCAGAACTGGACCATTAAGCAACATCATGATAAACAGAAAAAAGATTGAAGTTGTTAAGAATTTCGTTTTACTTGAATCTACAACTAACTCCCATGGAAGCAGCTATGAAGCAACAATATACTGTATTGGGCAAATCTGCTGCAAAAGATTGCTTTAAACTATTAAAGAGCATTGATGTCTCTTTGAGAACTAAGGTACTCCTGACTCAAGCCATAGTATTTTCAATCACTTCTTGCATGTGGAAGCTGATGCCTTTGAATTGTGGTGATGGCCAAGAATACTACATATACCATGGACTGCTAAAGAACAAACAAATCTGTCTTGGAAGAAGTGCAGCCAGAATACTCCTTGAAGGACATCATGCTTGATAAAGAGAAAAGCCCCTCAATGAGCTAGAATGATGCTGTGGCTGTAACAGTGGGCTCAAACATAAGAACAGTTGGGAGGATGGTGCTACATCATGTGCCAACCTCTGGTCTAACATTTCATATATTTGTTTGCATTCAATTCTTAGAACAATTTCACGAGAAAAATCAAGTCTTGTGAGATTAAATAACCTAACCAAGGTCATAGAACCGGTAATGGCTATTGGTGGCCAGAC